TATACTGAGGCGCGCGAAGGCAAGCTATACTGAGCCGCGCGAAGGCAAGCTATACTGAGCCGCGCGAAGGCAAGCTATACTGAGCCGCGCGAAGGCAAGCTATACTGAGCCGCGCGAAGGCAAGCTATACTGAGCCGCACGAAGGCAAGCTATACTGAGCCGCGCGAAGGCAAACTATACTAAGGCGAGCGAAGGCAAACTATACTAAGGCGATCGAAGGCAAGCTTATCAACCAAGTACTCATTCCATATGAGCGCGCGTTACAACAATAAATAAAATCACACCCACGGGCACGCGGCCCTCATGTTTATGCTCATGTTTATTTCATATCCTTGTGCTTCCTCGTATTCTCATCTCATTCGTAGTTTCGCACGTCTCCGCAGCATCGCCTTCCGCCTTTTAAAGTCCCGCACCTTATTTTAGTTTGCCACGTCCCGTCTCCCCGGAGCGGCTTTTGCTAATCAGGCGTCCTGTCTAACCTTCGCCCTTACAACATTGTTACCTCCGCCAAGGGGTTGGCAGATAGGAGGTTATGTTTTCACCGGCGTGTGTTTGTTCGGCGTGTTTGTTGGTTTGTGGGTTTGTTTGTGTACAGACTAACTGAAAAAGTTATGGACGGATTGTCATAAAATTTTCAGGACACGTCAGAAATGGGCTAACTTAGAATTGATGAGATTTTGGTGGTGATCCGGATCCAATTAATTAATTAATTAAATAATTAAATTTTTCACAGTCACACAATTGAGCTGCCTTGGCGGAGGTCTGTGCTCTCCGAGTGCTCTAGTTCCACATGTTCTTGCGCTCAGTCTAAGCTGGGTTTACACTGACGATTTTGTGTTGCCGAATTGCCAAATTCACGTGACAGAAGCAAGTAAGCGATCTACATTCCTCATTATTTTCACAGGTAGAACACACGAAGGCAGAAAAATTATAACGAGTTTACATCTAAATATTGGGGCAGAAAACACTAAGGAAAAATGGGATGAGCTAATTATTTTAAATCTTCCTTTTAAACTTGCGTATAAACAATCAAAAATCGTTCAGAATATTAAAATTAATGATAGAGAATGTTTAAGTTATCATACTTTGCCATTGTAGGCACTGATGATTGTAGGCTGTATTGTAGCAAGCTTTGCAATGTACCACTCTTTTCGCTAGGCGGCGCCACCATTTAATTACTTGGCTAGACTGGTGCTTGCTCCCACCTCTCGGCTTAGTTCTGGTTTACCTGATGGTTACCCAGCGAGTAACTAAGCCGAGAGGTGGGAGCGAGCACCCGTCTATTACTTGGCGTAAGTGCCAAGCCAAGCAATGATCTTTGTGCCTAGTCTGTGAAATCTGTGTGTGTGTACACTGTTTAGTCATAGGTATTAGGTGTAGTGTTGTCGTTGGAAATGGAGTTCGTGTTTCATTCAACGAAAGTGTTACATAAATATTCACTGCGTAGTACGTTAGAAATTGTCAGATTGTATTCGAGGACAACTACCCAGGTAAGGAATGTTATTGTTAGGGTGTACAGAACCGCGACATGTGATCATTCACTGATCCGATCACTAGACTAGTCCGAGGTCGTGTCCGTCTGCGTTGTCTACAATAGTCCCCCTACATGTACTACAGTCTACATGCATACGGACCGCGTATTAGACAGTGCTGTACGGTTATCTACAAGGTGTCTAACATTATTCTATACTAAATAATAATATAATAATATTGTATATGATATATTATATCCTATGTAGCTACTATTACTACGTCTACTATACTAGTCTATATTACCAAGCGCTGAAACTTACAGACGCAAAATTAATGCAGACTATACTCACTCGGGGTTGTGTTCCT